GGCGGAGTATTCAGTCCAGAGGCGTCGAAGAGATCATTCTAACCTGTGCCTCGAAGTGACGCTGGGACGAGAAGCGTGAAATTCAAGTTGGGAGAGAGTTGGTTCCTTTGAGTGAAAAGATGACTTTGTTGGTGACAGTAATGTTGGCGTCGGCGGCGCTGAGCGTCGGGGCGTCGCCGACGTCGCCTCGCTTCGCCCGTGACACCTTCGGAATTATCAGCTTCGACATGGTGTTGCCGGGCGTCCGCGATGTCCCTCTCGAAGAAGACGCAGAAGCCACCACCACCGAGGCGGCGGCGACGACGACGGCGGCGCCGGCGGAGATGCTGCGGCTGCCGGGGACCGACGACGTGGTCCCGGTGTTCTTCATGGAGTCGCTGCCGATGTTTTCCAAAGCCGACAAGGGCTGGCCCGGGATGATGCAGCCGGAGGAGGCGCCGAGTGAGGAGGAGGAGGCGCAGCCAGAAGAGGCGCAGCCAGGAGAGGCGCAGCCAGGAGAGGCGCAGCCAGGAGAGGCGCAGCCAGAAGAGGCGCAGCCAGGAGAGGCGCAGCCAAAGGAGGACGTGGGGAGCGGCGCAGGGAGCCTGCTGTTCTTCCCGACGGAGGGCGCCTCGCCGCCGTCCGCGCCGAAGGCCACGACGGAGGCGTCCGAGAGCAGCGACGGCTTCGTGTTCCCGTCGCACATCTCGGTGGCGGCGAGCAAGGAGGAGAAGGACGCGGTCCGGGGCAGCGCGCGCGCGGAGGGCGAGTGCGCGCTCAGCCAGGGCCTGGTCATGGTCAACGGGTCGTGCGAGCGGCTGCTGGCGCGCAACCATTGCGCCAAGGACGAGTGGCTGTTACTGCGGGAGGGCGCGGCGAAGTGCGAGAAGCGGCCGTGCCCCTGGGGCGAGATCTTCTTCGAGGACCGCTGCGTGAACCCCATTGAGCTGTCGGTGTGCGACAGCGGCCAGGTCCTGTACATCGACTTCAGCGGCCGGTCAGTGTGCGACTGCGACGCGGGGTTCCTGTACGACCCGTGGAGCGGCAACTGCTTCGCGCGCCACGAGAAGGGCTCCTGCAACTTCGGCGAGTACGTCGACGTGTCCGCGAGCGGCATGGTGGAGTGCGTGCGCAATCCCTGCATCTCGAACGGCTACGTGAAGGAGGCGGCGACGGGGCTGTGCTTCCGCAAGATGTACGGCGGCTTCTGCGAGGACGCCGACCTGCTGTTCCACCGCAGCAACCGCACGGCCGAGTGCCGCAAGGTGTCGCTGCACAACATCCTGGACGTCCCCGAGCTGCGCGAGTGCCCGGCGGGCTCCATCAGGGACTACCTGAACGTGTGCCGCGAGACCTTCCACGTGGCAACGCTCACCTCGTACCCCGTGCTGTACGGCGGCTGCCCCGGGGGCTTCGTGCGCGACCCCAGTGGCACCTGCAGGAAGACCAGCAGGCTCTTCGGGGGATAAGCCGCCCGCGGCCCCAGGCACCCCTCGGCCTGCAGTCACCCGAGGGAAAGAACCTGCATTCCCGCTGCATTATTATTATTATCGTTCCAGTGTTTGTATTTTTTTCGGAAGCACATTTTGTAGTTGAAGTCAAACACGTGTTGTAGGTTGACTGGTGCGGCAGCAGTCCCAAGTGTGCGCTGGAATTGTTTGTAACAATGATAGTCCTCCTCGCCCGGTGAATGTTGTGTGGAAGCGAACAAAGACACTTTTATTTGTTATTTTCAGTATTTGAAATATATATTCTATTAATCTGTGATACTAGATAAGTGGTGATTTATATTAAATATAAATGTATAATTAAATGTGCCTTTTATTTGGGTTCAAGACATGTTGAAAGGGTAGTTTTTATGTATATATATATGTATTCCTATAAACATATATTTTATTACATATTTTCTGAAATGTATTCCAGAATGTTCTCTGTGTTATGGAACCGTCGCAAACCCAGTAGTGTATGTTATTAGCATATTTTCCGTGAATTGAAGCACTATATTTGATAAATCATTATACAAAAGTTCGATTTTTAAAACTATTACCAGTGAATGAAAAAAAAAAAAAAATCTAATAAAGTTGACAGTTACATTTACCATTCAACTTAGGAAGCAGATCAATTCAGTTCTATCATTTACAATATTCATCTTAATATTTAAAGTTTCATGATTCACTGGTACTCGCGAGGGAAATAAAACCACGGAGTTCTGTTATTCATTTGTCATACATTTTAATTGTGTCTATACAGAAGAATCTAGACATAATAACAGAAAAGATCTATTACATACTGACATCAACATTAGACGAGAGTTGATCTCAAGATAAATATAACATCTGCAGTATTTGCATTTCATTGGAATGTGAATATCTAGTACAAATATCATCTTTATCTTCACAAGTGTCTTGAGTGAAACAGGCACTCACATGTACAGAAATAAACACAGACACAAAGACACACAAACTGGCACACGCACACACATTGCTTTAGCACAGATAAGATGTAAACACTTCCATTCATACTGTCTATATTTGAGAGTGTAATACTGTCTACACATGTCATGCTATGTGAGAAAGAGTATAATATTCTGAAAATATATTAGGGGCTATGAGAAGATTCTGGCCTTACACTTTTCCTAAAAATGAGTATGTGGTACCCTGAGGTACTAAACCCTTATCACAAGACAGGTTAAGTGATTTCTACTCACACTCAAATGAAAGAAAGTTACAGGGTCATCATCAGGACACGGTTCTTACCCTCAGAGAGTAATAGGGCAGTAGCATTTACAATGAACTTCTTCTAACAGCTGCCTTCCATCTTAAGGATAACGGACGAGTTACTTTACCAGTTACTTTACCTACCAACCGAGACCGAAACTCTACTACATCACTCTCCCTGTAATACTTACTCTCTTCATAAATAGACTCTCCATTCCTTTGGTATGAGGCCTCCTTGATTGGAAATCTGAGATTGTCTTTTTGTAATAACACAACTAAACCCATGAGCATAAACCCACTTGCAAATACAAATCGGAATACATCTGTAAAAGGAGAGTCTCTTTCAAAGACAGGAAATAAATGTTTACAAATAAACATGTCCTCCATTTGTATCTACATGTGTCTACATCTACACCTAGGGACTCACTTTGTTACGAGAGAGGCACTTCATTCACAAGCAGATACTCATTCCACTAACAAAGAGAACCCCACACCATTTGTAAGCAGTCTCACTTCATTCACATATAAATATCCATTCCATTCATAAAGTGAGACCCACTCCATCTAAGTCTAAATATATGCACAAGGAAAGACTGATCTATAAGCAGAGTCTCAGTCACAGATCCTGAGCCTTCACTTTTAATAACTCTTAATAACAGATTCTGGGAAACTGTCCTTATGGTGAAATGCTTAACTTCCTTTCTTCCAAAAACATATCCCTCTCACTGAAACTTGATACATATCTTTACTGTACAAGTCAGAGAAAGAGGTCAGTCTCTCCAGAAAAAAAAGAAAAGAAAAGAAAAAAAAAAAGTATAAAGGCAAAAATCTATTACTAATAACAAAAAAAAAAACTACAATAATTATAAATGTAAAAAGCCTTTTTAAATACTGATGAAAAACTATATGACCATAACTGTCAATGATAAGAAAGAGAAAGAGAAAAATTTTACGACTGACCTCAAAAATAAATAGAATACATAAATAAATAGAACAAAAGTGATACAATCATCAAACAAACCAATCCAGTCGCACACAATGTACCAATAGGAAAATTCCTGAGCCAGTTCTGCAGGGGAATGCATCTATCACATATCGGTTCAGGAGCTGACTAGAAAAAACTAAAGGCAGTCAAACGAAAAGGAAAATGCAAGGTCTAAAGCATCGACTTTGTGCCAATTGTGATGCCTTCTTAAACACTCAACGTTTACATTCACATGGCAAATGAAAACCCGAAAGATAAAGAGGATTAACTTTGATATAATACTTGTATGGAAGCTCCTATTCAGCTCAAATAAAACGTCTGAATGTTTTTACAGGAAGACATTTCAATATCTTGAAAATAAAGTTTCACATATTTTCCACTTACTGCCTCAGCTTTAAAGACAAACAAAGGAGCAATGACTTCAGCATGTAAGGATTGAAAAATGCTTAATAAAAGCAAAATCCTGAGGGTTGGCACTGGGATACTAGTTAAACATCATCTTTACAAGTGAAACTGCCAAGACCCAATTATATATAATGAAAATATCAAATAACAAATCACAAACAGGAAGAATATTTTATTTCGTAACTAAGAAACAGAGAAGAAAGTAGGAATACAGAAATGGTAGATAAAGTGGGAAGGGGGGGGGGGTTACTCTATCTCTATAAAATAATCTCTGCTGGGTCCCATCCTTAAAGGACTTTAAATAGTAAGCAACTGACATATGCATACAACAGCTCTACTGAACTCCTTATAGTTAGCGAGGAACGACACAAAATCTCATCAATTTCACAAATACCACAACCAAAACGATCCCTCAAAGACTCCGAAGAATGTGACATGAAGAGAGGAGAAGAGAGGGAAGAAATGAGAATTTTGTAGATACAAGAATGGAAAAGAGAGGAGGTGATTAGAAACGAGAGAGAAAGAGAGAGAAGTGAGAATTATTCTGACAAAGAGAAATAAATCAATGAAAAGACTAGAAGAGGAACAGCAAGAATTTTAGAAAGGAAAGAAATTCTCTTTCGTTAAGTAAAGATCAATACTGCTTACAATAAATGTCTTTACAATATCTCCCTGTGATGTATTTCATCATCTTTTACGGCTTACGTGACTAATAATACATATCAAAACGGAAACTGCATTTTACAAAACATAACAGCACAAAAAAAATCTCAGAGGCAGAATATCTCCATACATTCATTACTATACAGCAACAAAAATAAACACAATGAAGGTTTCTTAAAGCACTGATTCCACTCTTAACAAGTTAACTCTCAAACAATTACACACGTTATTGAGGCAGCCCAAACATAGAATTCCTTCATGTAATTCTGCACTGCTGCAATATGGATTTTCAAAATGCTAGAATATTCTTAAATTAAAGAGTAATCAAAAATATGATAATGATAAAATAAAAATCCATAAGTAAATTTTGGCACAGCATAGGGAAAATGTCACCTAATTCCGCTTACACAAGTCTGTCAGCAATGCCTAGAAAAATAACAGACACACCTGAAAAACCTGCTCCCTATCCCATTCCCTTTAAAAGACCTACTGTGCTGCCTGAACTTAGTCCTTTACCTCCAGCAAAAATTAGTTTGCGACCCACCTCCTTGTGGCGTACATTTGTGAATCTGCATGAGAGCTCTCTCTTTCTCTCTACCACTGAGACATTTGCAAAACATGAGATGAAGCTTTGAAGTCCCTTACAGCACTTTTTTATACGAGTGCATGAGAGCTAGGGCTATAGTCAAGAACAACCCATTGTGGAGTTTTGAGTAAAAATGACTGTCACTGGGATTAGGTACTCCACAGAGGAATAGTTGGGAAATAGAGCATAGTAACCCACAGAGGAATAGTTGGGAAACAGAGCATAGTAACCCACAGAGTAAATGGCAGGGAATAATACCACTGCTTGTCTGACTGTTTTGTCTGGCAAATCTATTAGGCCATTTCAAACCACCAGTTCTTGACTACAGCCCCAAGTCTGAGTGAGTGCTTGCAGATGTATAACAAAGCAACAAAATGGGGAGGGGGAGGTAGAGAGAGAGAGAGAGAAACAAAAAAAATCAGGAATTGGCGTAAAAGCAATTGGCATAATCAAGTGTCTCCTTGCTCTTCCGTTCCTGGTTCTGTTTACACCTTGTTAAGAATGACTCCTAAACTTGTGTAAGTAGGTGTGTACATGTGTGAATGTATATATATGCTTATGCCCATGTGTACATATATTTGAAGAAATATATAACTGATCGAGTATATATATATATGCGTATTCCCATGTGCTCCTGTTTTTAAATCTTATATAAAAAAAAAAAAAAAAAAAAAAAAAAAAAAAAAAAAAAAAAAAAAAAAATTATCACAGTACGGCAAAAATAACACGTACAAGCAACATTTACGGAGGAGGGAGGCTGTTGGAGGGATCACTGGATGGATTAAAGCAGATAATTGACTGAAATAAGAATGAAAGAAAGAAAAGAAAAGAAGAGCAAGAAGAAGAAGAAGAAAAAAAAAAAGCCACAGCATAACGGAGGGAGTAAGCTTAAGGGAAAATGCATAAAATACTATGCAACTATAGACTTTTTTTTAACCAGTATGGAAGCTGTCAATCATGAGAAACTACTCTTATTATGTCAGATATAATAAAAAAGATGATTGTGCAATATGTAATTCAGCTAAATATCATCTTTTAAATGACTATATTCACCCATTCTATATCAGAGACTGATCAAATATGAAAAACATAAATAATTACTCAATATCTGTCAACACAATGTTAATCCAACAGCACAAATAGTCAAATTATATCACCAGCAACACTATCATTATTTTCTTTCATTTTTCTTGAAATTCTCTAATGTGAAGCTAGATCCATCCATATAATACCTCTTTCCAATATTTGGCTAGTCTGATAATAGTTTCTGGAAATGCCTTTCCCAAATTTTAACCACATTTACACACAAATAAAGAATAAATAAAAGATGAAAAAAAAGATGAACTTAAAATCCTGACACTGAATAATATATCATAAAAAGTTGAGAGAGAGGGAAAAAATGCTACTCCACATAGCAACCCTTTTACGACTATCCATCACACTCGCACAAACACTCTGTTTAAGTATTCATCCTATAAACCAAAAAGAGAGCGCTGCTGTACCCCAGACACCATTCTAATCCTGGCATGGTGTCCAGGAGAGTGCCGAGTCCAACCACGCGTTTGAGCACTGGGACAGGCCCCTCAGGCCGGGTCATTTAGGAATTGGTCTAGCTCGCTCGTGTCTTGCTCTAAGTCCACTTCCTCCAGCTTGAGGCCCTGCTCGTCCTCACTGCTTGAGATTCTTCCTGGAGAGACAAAAGTTTTCATTGATACTATTTATACTGCTGCTATCATTGTTACTTTTATTTAAATGTGTCAGTCAGATGAATATTCTTTTCATAGGGTCTGATAAATACATCTTACTTTGATTCATTTCTTGAGTACTCAAGCTATTTTCGCTTGTTTGTTTTTGTTAATATAAGTGAAACACAATATCAACATCATTATTGGTGCGCTAATACTGAGCTCTCATTCTAATATGGACATGCTATGACACAAAGAGAACAACAAACTCACTTACTCACTCTCTCACTCTCTCACTCTTGACACACACACACACACACACACACACACACACACACACACACACACACACACACACACACACACACACACACACACACACACACAAACACAAATTCAGAGCATCTTACATAAAATGAAGTAAATAAAATCAACAACAAAGACAATCAAACACAAAATCCCGTCATTCCTCTGCCATCCCCACAAACGTACTAGTCACAACGCCCCGCTCCTTGTAGTTCTTGAGGTCCTCTGTGAATTGCTCAGAGAACACCTGCTCCCTCTCCTTGCGCTGCGTCTCCTGGTGCTGCTCCAGGGCCACCATCTTGGCCTGGTGCGTCACTGACAGCTCATCTGGAAAGGAGGGACAAGATGATATTGGCCACGGTTGTAAGTCTGGATGTTGGTGTGAAGACGGATTAATGGCTGGGAACAAGTTTTACATTTACATATAAAAAGTAAATGAATATGGGAGTTAATGAATAAATTAAATACATAAACACAATGGAATAGTAAAGAGGAATATAAAAATACACATAAAAAATAAACAATATAACTATAGAGTAAGAAACAAAAAACCAAAAGGAATTTATAAGTTTTCTTCTTTAAAATGATTTCTTTTTAACAATATAACATGAATAATAAGTAACACAATAGATAAATCATATATGAAAACATACTAAGAATTAAATAACACAACACCTATACCATTCATTTCTCATACTAATAAATTCAATAAAGTATAATCATACTGTACATACATAACACAAACCACAAAACCTACTAAATCTCTTCACATAATAAAGAACATAACATACAGACCCAATAAACCAAAGAACACAATAAATATACATTGAATATATACCAAGGAGTACATAGACAGGAGACAGAACACCAAAGCCCCACTCACTTCTGAGTGCGTTGAGCCGATGGTTGTGCTTCTCCCTGGACAACGCCAGACTCAGGCGGAGGTCGAGGGTCTTCTCCTGCAGTGCAAGGTCCTCCTCCAGGTCTTCAAGGGCCAGGAGACCTCCTTCCACTTCCTCAAAGAGTCCCCTTAGAGATCCTGTGATAGAATAAGAGAATGTGAGATGGATTTGAAATAAAGAGAGAACAAGAGGAAAAATCCATTTTTGGATGCTGAGGATAACTCAAAATAAATAAATAATAAAAAAATGAACTGACTTCCCGTGTGAGGTATGTCTGTAAATCTTTTTTTAGAGTCAGGTGTCTGAATTCAAGTGTTTTAAGGATTTTCATTATAGGGTCATTTAACCTCACCTGAGATATGTTCTCATTTAATAATGCAAATGAAAAATCATAACAAAAAGAAAAAGAAAATATTTATATCTACTTATCCCTTTACATATACATATGTATATTTATCCATATTCATATACACATGAAGCAAATTACATGAAATAAACAAATTAATGATAAATGCTCACCAATAGTGGCCAGCATCGAGTGTAGCTGGGCCATGATGTTTGGCAAGTGCGCCAAGAGGGAATGGATTTCCGCCATCTGACCGTGCTGGTTCTCACACTCATGTGTCAGGGTGGTTATTGCACTGTCAATATCCTGTAGGGAAAAATGTGCAAAAATGCATTAATCTGAATAATCAAAGCACATTAGAAAACTAGGTGAGGAAATTCAAATATGCAGAATGAAGTATTTCTCTTTCTCTCTCTCACACATATGCATATTCTCTCTCTCCCTCTTCCCCTCTCTTCTTCTCCTCTCTCTCTGCTTGTCATTTACAATATGGAGAGACAACCTCATAAACATGCTCATCTATAACAATTTGCAAACACAATTGTCATAATTTGGCACTTTGGAAACCTTTCTCATTTAATACCTCAGCATCCCATACACCCAGCACCCCTCGCCACACTAAATACCAGTCACACCCACCTGCGCCAGCTTAGCATTCTGTTCAGCCATATGGTGCATGGTCGCCCACTGGGTCTGGTACATCTGCAGGAGGTCTTCCCCGGCAGCCAAGTTGACATTGGACTCTGTGGGGGTTGTAGCTGACTTCTCCCCCACCGACAGTCTTTGAAGTCTGGGGTCAGTGAAACATGGTGAAAATATAATCATGAATACTTAATTATGAGGTAGAATGATACACAAGAAATGCCTGTGGTAGATTCTATTGAGCTGAGAAAATTCATGGTAGGATTCTTTTCGATGTTGTACTTATTCCTATAAGTTTCTGTACTAAGATTATGATCTAATTAATAGTATAGTATTATATGGAATATAAATGTATGTTATATATTCACTTTAGATATTTCAGCTTAACCTATATGCAAGTTCAGGTTTTATAATAAATAGAAATAAATAAGAAAGAAAGTAAAAAAATCTCATCCCAGATTTGGTGACAATTAACCACATATCTACTTATAGAATATATTAATAAAGTAATTCTTTATACTACAGACACTCGCCAGAGACTCAGTCCCCAACACCATCACAAAATCTATTCAACAATCTAAGTTGATATGAGGCTCCACCCCCGACTCCCCCAGTGCAGCCATTGTCTTCCCCTCGGTATGCACAGCATGATAGATCTGAAACTCAGGAGCACCAAGTGGATTCTGGCTGTGAGTAGTGCTTACTGTGATATTTTTCTTTTATCTACTTGTGTCTGTTGATTATTTCTTGTACCGACAACTGCAAATTTTAGCCCTCTAAAAGAATATCAGCTTTTATTTGCCCCAGCTTAGCGCACCTATACCGTAAAGATTAAGCTCACTAGATAACATATGGTTCTATATACTTTTAAATAAATCATTCAAATTCAGTACATAACTAGATCACCAGAGAGAAAAACAGATTGGTATATATACAGGTAGATTAGTAAATCATATAAAAGGAAGCAGTGCTTTCCAAAAGATTTTTTTTTCTCTAATAATCATACTGATTATGTTCTGTTCCTATCCCAAGAGACTTGCAATGATCTGCAATGGAAGGCCTATAATCTTAAGTCCAAGCTGAAAGTGGTACAGTATAAAGTGATTGATACAGCCTCTGTATTTCATGCTCCATCAACAGGCAGCAAACCTTCAACGCGTTTAATCTAACAGGACCAAATTTGGACTGGTTCCTTATTTGACAATATGCTGCCTGAAAAGTTGATAAGCTCAAATTTGCTGGAGTATACCTAGCGGTTTGCTGGCCTCTGCTGAAGTACCAAATGCCAAGGAAGCCATTGTTGGCTTGAGGATACTAACAGAACTGAGAGTATGCTAGCATTTCTTAACATAAAGATTTATTGGTTCTTTTATAAGAGGACTAAAATAATACTTTCCAATACATCATATTAAACTATTTGAATGCCTTTGCTAATAATTAATCAAATCTGACTGGTAATCATTTAATAAGGGATTTCATGGGGGTGAAAGAGAATAAATATAATTGTTAAGCAAAACAAACAAGACAATACTGTTAGATATTAGAATAATAATCTGCACAAAGCATAAACTCATGACTGCTTTTACAGTTTGCGAATCTTGACCCCAAGCAATGCTGTGACTTCTGAATTTATTGTGCTCTAGCAATGATCAATTTACTTCCACCACATACAGTCTACTGGATACGCGCACAGACTTCTCTTACAAATAACTGTAACAAAAGGAACCAGTCAAAAACTCCATCTTGTCAGAAAATATGAAGTGGGGGTACATTGGAGAGGAGCACAGACACTGCAGCGTTGCATTATGTGGTCCAACTGTAAATGTCTGGTGCAGCTTTAGATAAAGTAATCAAGACCACTGTTTTATTATCAATATCAGATACTAGATGAATCATTTGAATTTGATGTGCCAGACTTAAGGACACATTTATAATAGCAAAGATTTCTAAGCAAAGTAGGGTATAAAACGATGATATTACATGCTGGTCTCAAATATGAACAGATATTCCAATGAACTGGAATAATCAACCAATAATGATGTCTCATATAGGCCTATCCAAATCCTCCCTCCAGAATTTTCAAAAATCGTAATTTCATCCAATATTCCTCAAGTTTACCACAATTATACGCAAACCTCCCTAAACACCCCACATACATCTCCCCAAAAATAAATAAACACGCCATAAAACCCAGATATTGACTCGATAATTACAAGCAACTGGGAGACACCTCATAATTAACCTTCAAAATCCCTTTACAACAGATAATACCCGGTCTTTGGCTTATTTCACCACTAACTCACCCTGCAGTAATGCCATCTTGGACAGACTGGATGTTTTTTTTCAATGATTCGAACATTTTTGGGACATTTAAATTACTTGTAAAACCTCTTGTGATCAATGCACATCGCTGCGTTCGATTCCCTGCACGGAAAGTATTTTTGTTTTATTTATAGTATGTAGCTTTTCTTTTTTAATAAGAAACAGAAGGGATTCAATGGGGGGGAGGGGGCACTTAGCCTTTTTATATAGTTGGGCTAAATATCATTAGAGATAAGGTTTAAAAAAAAAATGTTTTGGTAATATGTGATTGTAACATTCATCCAGATAATAGGAAAACAAAAATCCATATTAGTTTCACAAACAATCATATAGGTAGAATACACCATATAAGATAATTGATACTCGTTGGACTCTCCAGCGATTACTCAGCCTATTGCGAAAAGTAGAGAGAATTGTTTGGAAATAAGTTAAAAATAGTGTCAACTCAATCGGACACATTGTTTACATCCTAGAGCCTCCCCTACCTCCCCCTCCAAGAACCGTCCTCCCCATTACCCTCCCCTCCCCTCCACCCTCCTATCTTTTCCCTCCCATTTGTATTTTCTCCTTTATCTCTCCCCTCTGTTCTTTCCCTATTGCTCCCTCTCCGAAGCACGTCTTATAATGCTCTATTTACCCCTATCCCCCATATCATTCCGATGCCCGATACCCATGTCCTCTCCCCACTACCCCTTGCCCCTCCACATCTCTCCCTTTCTCTCTATCTCCTTCCTCTCCCCTCTCCCCTTGCCCTTTATCTTCTTATCCCCCTTCCACTGTTCCCATCCTCTCCCTCCCTTAGCCTCCTTCTCCACCTCCTCTCTATCCAGTCCTCCCCCCTCCTCATTATCTCCCTCACCCTCCTACCTCCCCCCTTCCCTTATCCCTCCTCGTCCCTGGACCCTTCCCCTCCCCTCCACTTATCCCCTTCCCCTCCCACCTCAATCCCTTCCCTCCCTCCCCCGCCCTCTCTCTCCCCCTCACCCTCCCCTCCCGCTCCCCACCCCATCCTACACCTCCCTACCTCCCTCCCCCTCCCCTCCTCCCCGCCCGGACCCCCTCTGCGCATGCGCCACGTTTCCCGCCTTGGGTGCGAATCTTCTCCGACTCCTTCCCGATTTTCGCCGATTTCTCCCCCGAGCAGGTGATGTACCCCCTCCAAAACGATCGCGGACGCAAGGCGAGTCCCCCTTTTAGGTAAACATGGCCGAGACGATTCGCGAAAACGTTTTTATCTGTGAGAAAATCGAGGTCGAAGTTGAAGTCCCGCGGGATGAAAGGGCCTTCGGACGCGGCCTCAGCTGACGGGAAGAGCACACGTTGGCGAGCAAAGAGGACGTCGCCGCCGCTGCTCTTATTTTCCCTTTTCTCTGCTTTCCCGGCGTCGTCTGCTGCTTTGGATCGTCTGCTTGGAGAGGTAAGGTGCTTCTGCTTCGTGGGAGGGGGAGAGTGGGGGAGATATGAGAGGGGAATGGTTGGAAATAGGGGAGTTTTACCTTTCAATCTGCCACTCCTTTGCCTGGTTCTTCTAGATTTAGAATTAGAATTTTTGAGGTATTTGGGTTGGTTTGTTGGTCATTTTGAAGTGATGGGGAGGATTTTGTCAGATGTTCGATAGCATTGTTCTGTTGTGTTTTGCTTTTTCATGTATTGATCTATATGAAGCATAGGCCTAGATTTTCTTGTGTATGTTATGTCTCAGAAATTTTCTTTGGTGTTTTTTTTTTTCTCACTTTCATCAGATTTTCGGTGATTTACTGTTTTCGTCATGTTCTCGGATCTCTCAAGTGGTGATGGATCCCATTGTGGAGGCTTTAAGTTTTTTTTTTTTCATAATTATGTTGGCAGAATTCTGTCCTTATCCATCTGGAAGCTGCTACGTTCTGTGCTGGAGAAATATATGTGTAACATGAGTGCTTTGAAATATATGTGTAACATGAGTGCTTTAATGGTTTATAATACCGAGAGCAATGCACAAAGATAGAGGGAAATGGACACTACCATCTTACAGAGCATAAGATGTAGAGTAATAACGAACACGGGTACAGTTGTAGCAGCTCATATTTACTGTGAAGTGATGAAAATATCTGCTGCATATCAGAAACTAAGTCTGCATCACCCTAAGACTGCCAGAGTTCTTAATGTCTGTTTTCCATAGATTGGCACAAAGTGCTAATAAAGGGGGAGGGGTACAGGGGGGCTTACTCCCCTGCCTAGGAAATAAATAGAAGGTAGGAAAGGTTAGGTTTGGGTTTTAGGTTTGCATGATACCCAGGTTTTGGGACTTCATCTGTGGAGGGCGTGTTGCTCTTGAGAACAAATACTGTATCAATTGATGCTAATGTCTGTTGTTCACTACAGCATCTGCTCTTCCACCTCTGAACTAAGATATGGAAAATCTAAGAACCTTGTCAAAAAGAAAAATTAAAACCACAGACAAATTTAGGAAATAAATTGCGCAGGCAAATCCATCCATACCAAAATCGTCATGATTGGTTATGCAAAGGTATTCTAAACAATTACCAATGTAGCAAATCCCTGAGCTGTAAAGGTTTGTGGTTCAATGACGTTTATAGATTCTCAGGAGTGCCTCAAAGGTTGTTGGCAATACTAATAGAGACTTGGTGTCAGAGGGGTGAGGTCACTTTGTAAGATATTGCTGGCTAGTTAACCTCTACCATGTTTATCCTTGTAAGATATTCTGGTTAGTTCATTAATTGACATCAAATTGCAAGGGAGGTGTACAAACTCTTTCTTTAAGAATAGATAGTCAGTTTAAGATAATGTAGAATGTATATGAAATGGGGAAATTGACTTACTTTGAGACTCTTCTGGATGAGATTTGGTTAATTAGGCAAATTGAACATGATATTCTTGTAGAGGACAAAAAGTTGCAGTCCTTGGTACTGGAAATAATCTGTAGACACAAAAGATAACAAAAATGAACATAAAAGATTGCGGAAAGCACTGCAGTCAAGTAAAGTCCACTTGGTGCTCCCCAGTTTGAGCTCTATCTTGCCAGGCATACGAGGTGAAGACAATGTTTCCCAGTGGATTTGTACTATAAAGAATGAAATGAGGTTTTAGAGGGAGACAGCAAATAGAAGATATATGAAATTACAGATAATATTCTGTTGAATAGTTTGTTTCACACAGCCATATGGAACAGCCAACAACATAAGCGGTGACGCCTCACCAGTCCTAGCACAGAGAGATCATGTCCTTCTTGCACTGAAAGGAGGCCCACGTTCAAGCAACCAGGACATAGTAATGATGGTGCGAATGTGTGGAGAAGGGAAATTATGGAAATCAGGCAAGGAAGTGCAATCATGACTGAGATATATATGGAGAGAGAGAGAGAGGGGGGGGGATCGCTTTCGTTCCTGTTGAGTTGTTGATTCGAATTCAGATCAACCCTTCCCCACCCCCACTTCCTATGTCTGGGTTGTTTGAACAAGGGCCACCTTTCAGGGCACGAAGGGTAAGATCTCTCTAAGCCAGGTCTGGCGAGACATCACCACTTCTGTTGTTAGGTGTACAAAGTAAATTGTAAAGTTACTGAACAGAATAACAATATCCAAGACACTGTTCACTTATGGCTTTTCTTTCACAAGTCAAGAATAACGAAGTTGTGCAACATGTAATAATTTGGTATACCTTTACATAATAACTGCACTGTGATAGGAAAAATCTAGTGACACTCGTAAAAAGAGGGGAAAAGAACTCTTGCTGTTTCAATAAATAATCTGCACAGATATAAAATAGTGAAGAAAATAGGTTGCAACAAATGCCAGCAGAGACCAAATCCATGATGATTGGTTGGGGTCTAAGGATGAAGGCCCGGGATTAGGAAAGCTTTTTGATAGTATGGTGATGCTTGTGGATTCCCAGGAGTGTCCCCAAGGTTTTTAGCCACAGGAATAGTCTCGGAGGGATGAGGTTACTTTGTAAGCAATTATGAATAATTTTACTAATTTCCTGAACCAGTCATTTGTGATGGGAGACAACAAGTAATACATATCACAGCTTGAATAATTGGTATAAAAAAATAGTCATTATTAGGTTGGATGGCTGTGTGAAACAGGAAATTACCCATCCTCTTATGTTTTGTGTTATTTTTAGAGCCAATCAAAATTTTTTAGACCATTAATTCTATCAAATCTTTGTACTGTTAACCATTTTGATTGTGGCATGCAAAAATTAACGAAGTAAACATGTTGGAGGTTTTCAGCCTTTGCCCAAAGAGCAAGCAGAAGTAAGAGGTGTTGGTAGACTATGTCAGTAGTGGTTGCTCAGTGATGTATCTCTAAATTTGGGACATTTTCTGCATATATTTGCAAACTTTTGATTTTTTTATTGTTTTCCCAAGTAACATTTCATTTGTAGAATATGACTCGAAGGATTTGTGTGGCATAGTAAGTCCTTTCTAGTAGATATTGTAACAGCCCAGGTAATTGCATGCTGTCATTGATCCAAGTTGGGAGATCGTCATGGCAGCAACCATCATCATCCTGATAGCCTTAATCAGTTAATTCTGTGTTACATCTTTTGGGTCATACTTTGCAGCAAAATAGGTATACTTCAGTATGATTGGCTGGAAAATATATAGGTAGGGAGTAATGTAAAAGCTATGGTTGAAGTTAAGGTGTATTATCAGAGAATGCTCCAAATATACTGGAAAACTCTTGGGATATGAATGTATTTAGTATGAAAGTTCTAGGCATTACTTTTTATGTCAATTATTTGATATTTGGGTTTGAGAAACAGCATTTTTGGAACACTCTGAAACATGTCCTCTCTGCACTTGGTGAATCATGTGTGCAAATAGCAGAAGTCAGGTGTTATGTAGGTAACATGTCTCAATTTACTGGGGTAATATTCTTGCTATCCCACGAACTGAGATGTCTGTGGCTATGATTTTTTTCTTCATTTATCTCAATAATTGTAAATATATTTATATATAGGGTTGTAGGTGTCTGTTAAGATTAATAGAAATATTTGTGATTACTATCATGGATAGGTTGTGCAGAGGAAATGAATATGATAATTTTCAGTTGTTAACTGACTTGTGTGTCTTGTACAGTATTTATGATATCCTGGGATGTTTCATACAGTATTTGTAGTACTCTGGGAGGTTTAGCAATACATTATGATATTTAGAAATATATACTAGACCAAGGCAGTCCAGAGCTCTCAAAATTACCTGGTCACCGGCGGCAAATTGCTGTCTGTGGCTGGTTTTGCTGCCAGCTATTTTTCATTTTTTCCCAAAAATAATTTTTTCACCTGAATTTTATGCACTACGCAGGGCTGGCTGCTCTTCCGTAGCAGCATTTCTGCCATTTCCTAAACATTAGATGATATAGAAAACAGACTTAGGGTGGTTTCACCACCATTGTACCCTGCTATACTCCACAACTTTGAGAGCCCTTTAATCCTACCCAGTTTTTCATTAGCAGTTTCACATACTCAGAAGGAATGGAAAAAGCTAGAGACACTTATAGTGCTTGTCTAAAAGAGTTGGAACTACCTGCTGAATCTTTATCAAGTTTTGCTCCTACTTGTATGACAATGTTGTCAGAGAACTGTAAGAGAAGAATACATTAGGAGACCAAAGGTTCCCTGATTATTTAAGATTTGATATGACATGAGGAAGGCAATAGTGCCAGAAATAATAGGAAAAAATATTGGACCGAAGGAAACTGGGTACTAAGCTAAGAGATGGTGAAGGGGCAGTCAACATTATGTACATTGCTTTTCCAAGTGACGTGCTTAATTCTTTTATGGCAGGGGTAGCCAAACTAGGGGCCACAGGTTACTTTTTTTAGGGGCCATGGAGCAATATGGAATTATGATGTTGAATTAAACTGAATTTCATCTCGCCTACAGTACCTACATATAATTATCTTTCACATATAACTGAATTGGAATCTTTTCATAAAGTGTTCTTGTCCTATACCTGTTGACACTCTTATGCTACTCATAAAAAGTAATAACTCAATCTGAAAAAGTGACAGACAATGAATGGGACCATTGTTACATATTGGTTGGGGGCCACAAAATAATAAAGGTTTGGAACTACTGCTTTTAAGTGTGAATAGAGGTGCAAGGGCGGTCATCCCAATAAAATAAGACAAAGTAGATAGAAGACCATGCACCATGAGAAGGAATAATATGTAGTCCTTCGCTCAGATCAAAACTAATTTATGGACTTCTGACTTCATAATGCATTCTTCTGTACCAGAGCTCTAACCACAAGACACAGTAAACTTCAGTGTCTTTCTGTTATTATAGGGATGGGTGTAAAATTCAGAGTAAAAGAATTTGGCTGGTAGGGTTGCCCCATGAAAGTCTTTGATGAGTACCCTGTGTATGTATTCAACTAAGAATCAACTGTAAATATTAAATGTATGAAATGTGCGGATGACCATATGGGAAACTGCACATTTGATGTCCCTTCCATCAGTTTCAGATTCCTTAGATAATTGAACATCCCTGTATTAGATTAATGTGCAAAGAAAAGCCTGAATGCATTGATTGACTGCTTGGATAAAAGGAAGGAGGAAGGGTGGGAGAAAAGGAGAGAAAATATATTTGTTTCCTGGCTTTGTATTGCTGAGTGTTTGCTGCTATGAAGTGAAAATTTCAAGCCTAAACAGATTGTAGTTCAGATAAGAGCATGGATATTTTGTAAACAGTTATTAAATTCTCATTGGACTGATTTTAATGCTGCTTATCAATTTTGATATGGACAGATAACTAATAAGATGTAGCTGATTATGTAAATTGTATAATTATTTGTTACAAAAATCATGTAGGTAGTTTTGAAGCCAGATATGTTGTAGATGCATTATTTATACAGCATCATCAGTCTGTTTTCTTTATTTTCAGGAAAGAGTAAATCATGGGGAGCCTGGCATGGCTGCCTGGGGGCATACCTCCTGTCCTGCCCACTCTCAAGGACCAGATTGAAGAATACCTGTTGATGCCAGAGGAGCTGCCCATTCATGCTCCCATCCACTCGCGGAGATGGTTCCCCCGAACGCCAAACCCCAGGCGTCTCTTCAGTCTCACACTCTTTCCTGTAACCTCATGCCTTGAGGTGGAACGTGACCCTGCCACCGGCCATATTACAGGAGTACGTGAAGTGTCTAACAATGATGCAGGGGCCACAGCCAAAAACTCAATGTCGATGCGACGTGCTCCAGGACCTCCTGAGGAGATGGTGAGGGGATCGTCGACCAACCTTCCTTTCTGGCCTGGAGGCTTCCCAGAGCCCACACTGGACAAGGAGTCCACGGAGACAGAGCACGAGCTGGACCTGACCAACTTGGTGACCAAACACCCCAGGCTGTCGCGAGGCATAACATTTGAGGAACCAGAGCCCCCACCCCAGGAGGAGGTGAAGGAACCAGAGAGGGAGGAGAAGAGCTCCGACCTCGTGGTCAGCATCTCGGACATGCTTATGGTGGACGAGAGTGTGCTCAAGATCTTTGATGTGAAGGAGGAGCAGATCAAGAAGCCAGCCACACTCACCCTGGAGGATCTGAACGAAGAGGACTCCAACCTGGTTGAAACCTTTAAGATTGAGCCAGCTCCCAAGAAGGAGGAGTTTATCTTGAACATCAGTGAAACCCCTGTGGAAGTGGAGCTCTCTGGGCCTAGTACTGAGTGGGCCGAGAAAGTTGATGTTCATGCCCCTGTGGACGATTTCCATACGCGTGTACCTAATCCTGCCTGTACTTATCCCTTCGAGCTTGATATATTCCAGAAGCAAGCAATTTTGCATTTAGAAAATCGAGAGAGTGTTTTTGTTGCTGCTCATACCTCAGCGGGTAAAACTGTAGTGGCTGAGTATGCCATTGCGCTCACCCTTAAACACATGACTAGGGCCATTTATACCTCACCAATTAAAGCCTTGTCAAATCAAAAATACAGGGACTTGAAGATAAAGTTTGAAGATGTAGGGTTGTTAACGGGTGATATTCAGATTAATCCCAAAGCATCTTGTTTGATTATGACAACTGAAATCTTGCAGTCTATGTTGTACAATGGTAGTGATTTGATTCGTGACTTAGAGTGGGTTATTTTTGATGAAGTTCACTACATCAACAATGCCGAGAGAGGCCACGTATGGGAGGAAGTTCTTATTATGCTCCCTGAAAGAGTGAGCATTGTATTGCTGTCGGCAACTGTTCCCAACACCATTGAATTTGCTGACTGGATTGGCAGAATTAAGAAGAGGAAGATCTACGTGATCAGCACCACGAAGCGACCTGTGCCGCTTGAGCACTTCCTCTACACTGGAATGGGTGGCAAGAGTAAGGATGAACGCTTCCTCTTGATAGATGCCCAGGGAAAGTTTGTGACGAAAGGATACAATGATGCCGTTGCAGCCAAGAATGAGAAAAAGAGTAAGATGCAGCAGCAGCAGGGACCCAAGCACATGAGGCAGCATATGGGTGAGAAGCAGGAGAAGAACATGTGGATTGGCCTCATTGACCACCTCAGCAAGAGAGAACTCCTACCCATTGTGGCGTTCACGCTTTCCAAGAAGAGGTGTGACGGCAATGCCAGTCAGCTGCTCAGTCAGGACCTGACCACCAATGCTGAGAAGGGAGAGATCCATTCCTTCATCAAGAGGTGCACGGAGAGGCTGCAGGGAGCTGATCGAGAGCTGCCACAAGTCGTATACATGCAGCAACTTCTCACTAAGGGCATTGGGGTTCATCACAGTGGAATTTTACCCATTTTAAAAGAGGTTGTGGAGATGCTCTTTGCCAAAGGTCTAGTAAAGCTGCTGTTTGCCACAGAGACCTTTGCTATGGGAGTCAACATGCCCGCAAGGTGTGTTGTGTTCGACTCCATCCGTAAGCATGATGGAACAGGCTTCAGAGACTTGCTTCCTAGTGAATACATTCAGATGGCTGGTCGTGCTGGTCGGAGAGGTCTTGACACAACAGGAACTGTGATCGTTCTGTGCAAAAATGATGTACCGGAGATGGGTGACCTTCACCGCATGATGTTGGGCAAACCCACCAAATTGGAATCACAGTTTAAGCTCACTTACTCGATGATCCTCAACATTTTACGTGTGGAAAGAATGAGCGTTGAAGATATGATGAAGCGATCGTTCTCGGAAGCCATCACTTACAAAAATCAAAGTCAATATCAGGCTGAGCTTGAACTTTATACAGAACAGCTGAAGCAAGAGCCTGATTTTAACTGTATGATGTGTAACAGTATTGAACAGTATTATGCAGCTGCCAAGGAGTTTGTGGAACAGCGTGCTAATGTCTTCAACCTGATTCATGGTTTTCCAGGTGTTGTTAAGGCAGTGGCACCGGGAAGAATTATACTTATATGCTACGAACAATATCAGTCTTACCTTGCTTGTGTTCTGAAAATAGACCCGAAAGACAAGACCAAGATGATTGTGTTTGTGCTAAAGGAAAAGTCCCGGCAAAATTACTCAAAGCACGAACTTATGGCCAAGGAGGCTCTGAGTGCCTCAGAAGCAATGTTTGACCCCTTGGAGGAACCCTCAGAGCATGGCTTCCTGGAAATTGCCTTCAAGCACATTGCTGCTATAACAGACCGGGTGGTGAAGATAGATGGGGATAAAGTCATTGACAACATTAAGAAACGGCAAATCCCACGATTCAAGGATGACCCTCCATCGCAGTCTGTTATGGAGCTGCTCAAGGAGATGCAGAGGTTAAACGAGTCAGGAGGTGAGAATCTGGCATGCCTGGACCCACTGAATGACCTGGGAATCAGGGAAATAGCAGCCGTTAGTAACATTCACAGAATGAATATCTTGAGGAAGAAGGCTGTAGAGATGCCTTGCTTGGACTGCACACAGTTCAAGGAGCACTTCAACATGATGTACAAGAAGTTGCATCTGCGGGAGGAAATTGGACGGCTGAAGTTCCTAATGTCTGAAGAGGCCTTGCAGTTGCATCCAGAGTACCAGATGATTTGCTT